AAAAGAAATTAATAACACAGATTTTGGGTAATTTTACGATGCGTATTCATTGCCTCCTCACTTCTCATGAATGCAAGGTCTAGAGGGAATCCCAATCTGCTTATAGAGAGCTCTTTAATTGGTGCGTGACCAGATTCTATAAATCAAGATACAATGACTGACATCTCCGGTGCCACTGGTACCACTCCATCAAAAATGTCCGCATCGCCATGAAGGCGGGACGCGTTTAGACACACGAGGATGATGATGCAGTTTTCAAAAAAAACCTTGGCAGTGCAAGAGCCTATTCGTAACATGAGCAAACACACCTTTCTAACATACAGCCTAAAGCGATGCAACAGAGGAGAGAGATTGCTGAAATCTCGTACAGGAAGCCGAATTTATGACCTGAGAGTCCACACGCCGTAAACCTGACAGGCTTTAAAGTATTTATAATAAAGTAAACACTTTCGCGCACAGGGGAAACACTCAATGCATGTGAAGTTCGTAGGTTTCTGCGTAAGACCCAAAACGTAAGTTAATAACATAAAATGACTAAGCGCAACTGCTGGCCATTGGCAACCCGCCTCCCAGGGTTGTCTGACTTCTTAAGAAAGTAGTCCTTCAACTGCTGCATGGCGGTGTCGGGACTGACAAAACGCTCCACTTCCTCTCTCTCCGACTCCCCTCTACCTCCGACATTGCTGCCATGGCTTCCCCTTACACTTGCAGCAAAAAAATGGCAGCACCGACTCATTTACTCCACACCTGTGTCACACAAGCGCCGACGCTATACAATCTAATGCCTGGCAGTTCTGGCGTTGAAAACACCAAAGTGACAACGTCGCACTTCCCTCCAGCTACCGCTCTCAGCATTTGTCCACCCACCACCTCCTACCTACACCGTCTGTTGCACTAATAATAAAGCGCTGCCCTAAGCAAACACTGCTCTACGTAGGTACCGTGCTACCTGCGTACATTGATATGTGCCTAGATGGAGAGATTGATGAGTGGATGGAGAGATGGACAGATGGATGGGTGGATGGACAGAGGGGGAAATTACGGCTCACATGGCTACAAGGCATGAATACACCTTGTAGACTATGTGGACGCACAAACAAACACTCTTACCTTTCATTCGATTGCAAAGCTGGGTACTGTACGCTCTCAGGCTTGCAAGTGCCTGCTCGGTGGGAGGTGAGGCGGCCAAAACCCAGTATCTTGCCCGTCTGCCACAGTCCACGTCCAGCCAAGCGTACCACACTGCTGAACCGACGTAGTAGAGGAATGATTACTGCCCTGAAAATGAATCACCTCCATTTATACATATATGCTTATGCAAGCGAAGCCCAAAAGCAAATCATTCTCATGACTTTCTCATCTCATTCTCATCTGCATTAAGAACTTTTGAGCTCAAGTGTTATTTTTTTCCAAATTGACATTCACTTCCGTTTGGATTCGTTGAATGGCTGTTACGGCTGAAGAGCAGTAGTTAGACAATTGCACTTATTTATGCTTGGTACAAACCTGGATAAACTAATCAAGTGAAAATACAAATACTACTAATCTAAGCAACAAACCTGTCGTCAACTTTTGAGAGGGGAAGAGGAAATAAGTAAGACCGGAAGTGAGGGAAAACTAACGTGTAATAAGAGCCGGAGGCGCATATGAGGTCGACCACACCAAGAGCGCTGGAGAGCGCACAACCGTGAGCGCTGAAGCAACGTTGGTGCGGCCATCGAGGCCCGAGGAGGGACCCACCATGGCACTGCCCTTTCTGCCGGACCAAAAATCGAAGGGCGATGTAGGGCTAAGAAAATCACGAGGGTCCCAGTTTACCCAAGCGAATAATCCCACCCGTGCCTGAAACGACGCAAATGGACAATTTTCTATTCATACACGAGTCATGAAGAGCAGTAAGGAGTTCAGTGCCTTAAAATTTCCTCCTCTGTAACTAGAATGCTACCCCTTAACACGTATGCTACTCGGAATATTTTTCAAGAGCCAATGTTCACCCTAACGAATAACTATCACTTCTGCAAGTTGTGAACATAACTGCATAGTGACGGGCAAACTGGGCGTGATAACAGCTAAAAAGTAAATTATCTCCCTCATTCTCACATCCCAGTTATATTATCTGCAAAATTTTACAGGCAGTTATGGGCGGCAATAAGCGGACATAGACGAACTGCAGTGAGCCGGTAGCGAAAAACAACAGAACATATGGAAGGAAAATGATACTCACATATATGAACCTAAAAACAAAGCACTGAACAGTAATGCTGTCATTTTGGAATCACTATGAGATAGCTAGAATGTTTATGAATACTTGTCTAGGGGTCGAAAAGGAACAAAAGCAATGTGAAAAGAAAACAGACTACCCACAGAAGTCGACGCTGACTCAGCCTTGTCTCAAACGGTTGCCAGTGCATTCCCAGCGACTAACAGTGCAACACCCTTGATAGAGGAAGCCCTAGCCAGGGATCAAATGAGCATCAGGATACAGGTTATCGAGCGCATTCCGCCGCCTTTCATTCTCCGCAAATTACCTTTCCATTTCTACAGATAAAGAACTTGTCATCAATATTCCCTGCGTGTTATCTGTGAAAACGACGGGTGAGGTGATGCCGTATCAAGCATTCGTATGTGATTGTCTAAATATACAAATAAGGATGTCCATTACGCATCTCCCAACACTTAAAAGCATATCTACGCATGAATATTATTTGATATAACATAACGGCAATTACCCATTATAGGCAGATGTTCCAGATTCTCCTCTTTCCAAAGGTTCTTCGAAAGTCAAACGATTCTGTTCTCCGGCAAGTCCAGTAACCAAGACCGCAGGTTGGGATAGACTCCTTCAAAACTTAGCAAAGTTGCCAACAGCCTCTACTTCCAAAAGAGGTACGTCAAATGCAATTAGTGCAGAGACATGGCAAGTGATCACATTCGGTTAATACCGACGTTCAACACAGACACATTCATCAAGTGAAGAAAACGACTTTCAACCCGTGGAGCCACTATATTCCTTATATACAGACTGCCAAGGCAAAAAATAGCAAATACGACAATTGATTCCTCTTAATCGCCTGCATCCCTTACATAACGAGTTTGATATAAAGAGCTTTGCTGCACACCAGAGTTCAAAACATACCCATGAGCATCCAGATGTGATTCAGTTATGTAGTCAAACAAACAAGAATGTATTTAGAAAAATTGTAAGGTAGTATTTTAAAAACATTAAACACAAATATAATTGTATTCATAAAATTTCCAAGTGCGCAAATTTTGACCTGGTAAAAATTGCATTAGTTGTAATTAAATATTTGTGTAGTTTTGATGTATTACCAAGATTCACACTAATTATTTAATTTTTCTTTTTATAAGCTTTACCTATTTTGCCAAGTTAAGCCCATTATTTACAGATATATGGCCTAAATCTACTTGTGATGAAAACACCGGATACCTACCTCCTCATTCTTCTACCCTTTTACTCACGTATGCGTTTGCATATTTTCTATCTATCCTTTCACTTTTTTTGCGCTAAGCAAGTCTTTTTTAAAAAGATTCATATTTTGAGTCGCGCTACCACATAAAGGAGAGGTAGACAAATTTTTCTAATTGAGAACAATGCCTCTGTGGATCAGCGGATATGTCAGAACTGGCAGAGTGGACCTGTTTGCTTTCAAATTGTGTGCACCTAGGCCTACCTATCTATTTTTCCATATTTTCTTCCCCATCTAGCCAAATTGGCCATATGCTGTTTTCAAATGCGAAAATGTGGAGAAGTTCTCACCAGTCATGTTATTGACACGACCACGTTCGATTAAAGATAAGTGGTTACAAATCTTTGCCTTTGTTGCAGGATGTGTGCAACTGCATTAGGTTTATGGAAGGGAAAAGTACCCCAGAATGGATTAGAGAAGATGGACAACGAAATACTATTTGATAATCTGCTGCTTTTGATATGCACATTCAAATAAATAGTGTGAAATATTACTTCACTACCCATGCCACGTTCCGATTTTGCTTTATGTTTTCTCCAATCCTCTTCACCACATAATGCTTCTAGTATTGGTCAGTTCTCACACACTATTTTGCCAAAATTTAGGGCAACACTTCTCCTTTTATAATGCGAAAGTCTTTTGTTAGGTCAAAAGTCATTTTTAACCAGTCCTCCTGTCCAGTGACCAGATCATTCACCAAGACACAGCAGAAGAAATTCAATGGTGTGCCAGAACATTCAAACGAGAGGTATGCG